CAAATGTATAATCGCCGTGTTCTCTAGTTCCACACTCTTCATACCAATGACCTAACCTTCCGCAATTGTTGTGGAACATCAATAACTTCTCATACTTCACTTGATACCAATCTTTGTTCCCCACCTTGGTGATCGAAACAAATCTTTCGATATTTTATTAACATCAAGGTTCGCCTTGACACTAACAAAGGATCCCATTTAACCGCGGGAGTTGATTTTGAACTTCGAAGTTCTTGCACATCTTCCTACACATGCCCTATCACCGGCTAGTTCATATAATTGTCTGGCAACTTCAAAAAATTCTGCCCATACAACAGTAGCAACACCGCCAAAGGACCAAGAAACCCTAGCCAAGACATGATTAAAGAAGCAGGGAATAACAAAAAAAAATCAAAAGAGTAGCAGCTAGACAAGTCTTTAATACTCCCTCTGTCACAAAATAAGTGTCTCAACTTTGTACTAGCTCTAGTACAAATTTGTACTAAGCTCAAGACACTTATTTTGGGACGGAGGGAGTATTACAAAGGCACTTCTTTTTCATTTTAGAGAAGCTTAAAAATATATACTCTATGATACAAAAGTGGGTGAGATTAGGTTTCCGTTCTTTTTTTGTCTTTTACTTTTCTATTACATTATTCCGACGAATAATTTTTTTAGTCTTCTGATATACTAGCTACAGTAGCACCTAAGGGCCCAAAAATATCTCAAATGGGAACTCTAGGATTCCATTCTTTTATCGCATTAGGATTCTTTTATCGCATTGGGATGTTTTGAATTCTTGAATAAGCCAACAACAGTTGGATGCCAACAACAATAGTAGATACAAAGATACAAGCAACATAAATAAGACTACGGGTACCGAAAATTGCATGCAAGCACGCTTCTGATTTTAACCTCTATTCCTCCCTCTGTTATATAGGTATGAGTAACATGGTCATACAAATTACAAGGAGAAAACAGTTCCATTCCCTATGAGCAGCCACACCAAACAAAAACATATATATACCACCACATCTCTGAAAAACTTGTTTTAAATACACCCCTTGACACATGACATAAATGAGGCTACAACAGCGCACTCAAGACTCAAATAGCTACCTAATGTAATAACAAAATGTTGAGCCTGTGTTAGAGAAGGAAAATGAATTTACACTACCACCAGATGATGAAGACGGAGGAAGAATCTCTCTACCCAGGATATACAATGAATATCCTACCTTGGACTGTTCCAAGGAGAAGGCGGCTTGTACTGAAAACCCTGAGAAGCAGATCCATGCCCTAAATCAAGACTATGGAGTTGTTCCATCAGCTGCGACCTCCGTTCTTTAAAGAAATCTAGCCTAGTTGTTAGTTCTACCAAAGTGGAGGATGCCACCATTGGCTGCCTCCCATATCCAACACCCTGTCATACAACAGATATGAATCATCTTACTTTAGTTGGTATATTTAACAATAATCAAGTGTTTTATTCCCTAACCTCAGCTAATTTGGGAACATTGATTACCACAGAAGTGTTCTCTGATGACATGCTTGTTGATGCCTCCATGCCTCGTGAATCACTTGAAGATGCGTCTAAGGAAAGCTTGCGGGTTAGTGGCCTTGAAGAACCAAAAGGTAGCACATGCTGTTTGATGTTCCTCCATTGAGATGCATCCACCGAGCTCTCCTGCCAAAAATAATACAGTATCAGTACATGTAGTGTCAGCTCTACATCAGGTTAACACAAAATATATTCATTTTCAGTCATGAATTTCGACATCGATGCTCAAAATGTCATCATGTAAAACAGGGATAACTAACATTAGAAAAACAGAGAGAACAGTATAGGAGTCAGCTAAAGCATAAAGCACACTGAAAGTAAACTATTGAAAATGCCTCGCTACCAACCAGACCTAAGATGTAGAAACCTCTACATTCTCTGAATGCCTTCAAATGTTTCTAGAGTTTCTAACACTAAAGAGTACTCCCTCCATCCCAAAATAAGTGTCTCAACTTTGTACTAACTCTACTACAAAGTTGTACTAAGGTTGAGACACTTATTTTGGGACGGAGGGAATATATAGGAAGGGGATTTGCCCAATACTTCAATGTGCCACCAGTTTCTGTAACCTTGATCCAGACCAACAGTTGGCCCACTTCTGCCAGCATACTGCAGACTTGTGGGAGTTGAGACTAAAATAGTACTGGCATGCAAGAAGTTCAACTGGTCCTCTAAATAACCAGATATGACAAGCAGTACTGTTCATTTCCATAACTAATAATTTATCTATAGAGCACACTGACACTGCTTTCAGTCATGCATGTGGAAATGTAGGTCGTTGAAACTGGAATTAAACATTAAATGGGTTTCAGTATTATCAATGAGACCGTAAGTGTATGGGTGGGGGGATTCAAATCAAACCTCATTTCTGTGCTTCTCTTGATTGCAAAAGGCAAGGTTCATGTCAAATCCTGGTTGAACAAAGTTTCTGGTACGAATAAAATAGTGTCATAATATGATAAGTAAATTAGGAGAGCACAATATATCCAATTTATGTCTAGAAATATTGATATAATGGCCCCGATCAATTATTATTGAAGTCTATGAAGAAACCATGTTAAACAACTGCAGCATAATTCAGCATAACTGAATAAGATCTCACTTTGATGAAATAGAATAATTAACAAACACCTAGTGGGCTTCAAATCACAAAAAACCAAAAAGGTGTCATAACCACATCCAGCAACATCAAAAAAAAAAAAGGCAACCTGGTGCATGTAGCTCCCGCTTGCGCAGGGTCCAGGGAAGGGTCCGACCACTTTGGGTCTATAGTACGCAGCCTTTCCCTACATTTCTGTAAGAGGCTGTTTCCAGGACTTGAACCCATGACCTCATGGTCACAAGGCAGCAGCTTTACCACTGCGCCAAGGCTCCCCTTCACATCCAGCAACATCAATGGTGACAAAAAAGAAAGGAAGAAAGAAAGAATACAATACAATCGATATGCTTACTGCTGTGAAAAATGGCCAGGATTACAGTGATAACGATCATTTGCATCAAGAGATGGGCCATATTGTTGTTGGCGTTGTTGATTGAGTAGGAGGTGAAGTTCAGCCACCTTCTGTTTTAACCTCGCAACGTCAGTTTCAGCGAGAGCAATCTCCTCAAGCTCAGCCCTTGTCTTGAGAAAAATAAGAAGGAAAATGAGACTCCATACAATGAGTCCAGCAAGTAGAGCAATGGTTGAAGGTACCTTTGAGTCCATAGCACGTGGACTTGAAAACTGTCCAGAAGACATGCTCAACCCAACCTCCAGTGCAGATCTAAGATCTCTCTCAGCTTGTAGCTGCTCTTGCAACCTGGACACCTGTAGACATAAACAGTTGTGAAAACTATCATCAGAAAATTCAACCACCATCTTGTGTATGGAACATGTTCAACAATAACTGCATAAAAAAACTGAAAGCAGAAAGTAACATTTTGGCCCCTAAACGTTTAGACTATTTATTGTATACAGTTACCCTGAAATTTGTGTGGGGCTACAGGCACTATATTATTTTGGTTCCTTGATTTTAGAATTGCTTCTGGCTAAATCCTTCCATCAATAAATTTACCAAGCTTGTCTAGCCTCCGAGTAACTGACAATCTGTCTGTAGAGAGAAGTCCCAAACGCAAGAGGCACCTGGTTAGCCAATTACCGCAAATCTAAACATTGATGATTGTTGAGAATAGCAACTTGTATTATTTAGAAGGCCAAAGCCAACATATATACACATACATGAGGATGCCGAAAGGCTACCGGAGAATGCCAAGAGACTGAATGC